GCTCCAATTTTAGATTTGATTATAAAAAGTGAGGTTAGATCACATCAAAGTTTCATAGTATTCAACCAAAATCAGCTTTAATCTCCCTCGGCAATTTTAGCAATTAATACTTGAATGTAACTGTTTTCCATTTTAGATTTAGGTCTCTGTTTTTGTTTCAGATCGTATTTTTTTAATTTTGTAATTTAGATTTTTCTGCGTATGAAAATTTCTTATCATAACTCATCAAAGTAGTTGCCAATGACAACGCTTTGGCCCTTTTTTTTGTTTTGGTGCCTTCCATCCCACGCGATGGGTGGAGGGCGGGCAGTGTGGGGGCGTGGTTAGTCGCCTGGCTTAAGGGTCGAGTCAGTGGATATTTGGCTTATCGCTGGAATGAATAAAGAAAACTTGAAAGCCTTTTAGCCGAGATATGCATATACATAGCACTCTCTCGTTCTCCCTCTTCATCTCTCTCACTTGCTCTCTATCCTCTAGCTATCTACAGATATATACATTCAAGTGCAAGAAAAAGGCAGTCATTAAGTTTATTAAGTGCCCAAATGCAGATAAACTAAATGAGTGCATGCCAAATGGGCGAGGCCGAAGGCGGCTGTGGCCAAGGCAAAGGCAATTTACGCAGCCAATGCAAGTTATCAAGTATCTTGGGCCCCCCCCTGGAGTCCGGCAAACGTTGCGCCTATGGAAAAGTTTCAAAGTAAACGAACAAGAGTGAAGAAGAGATAACAAACAATGTGCGGCTAACGGTGGTCGGGCAAATTACCGTTGCAAGCTGCAAAAACTTCATGGCGGACTGCAAAGATTAGCGTTATCAGTTAGCGTGCGAGAGAGAGAGAGAGAGAGAGAGAGGCACCGAAACAGAGCGAGAGAAAAGTTGGCTTGAGGAGTGGACGAGAGATAAAGCGAATAAACGCGCTTTGACCGCATTAAACACAGTCTCAAGTGTTCACTTTACGCATGCTATATTCATATATACTCAGACATATACGTTTTTATATAAATGTATGCGTACAAATACTTATCTGTAGCAACCGCAGCAGCTGGGGGGATAACAATAATAAATGATTACATAGTTAGAACTGATAAGCAAGCAGCAGGGTTATTCACACACTGCGCACTAAAAAAAAAATAAATAAATAAATTTTAAGAAAAGCAGCAGTCAATTTAATTATTCATCGATTTTCAAATTCAAATTCAAATTTTAATTCAAACCGTCAACAGACGAATGCTGATTGCTATGCACAAATTAGCATACAATGCACTCAGGCAAAAGCTAACTGCTATAGTAAACGATTTATCGGTTTACCGCGCAGCTATCACCAAACTGTGGGCTATGAAACCGCGTTGTATGGCAGTTGCAATTGTTTTTTTCCTTTTTCTTCTTTTTTATGTTCAGTACGCTGCGCACAGCTGTTGATATGTGCGTTTGATATGAACAGCAGCTGTGTGCGTTAGTTGCGTACTTGCCTGCCTGGTCGACTATTTAGCCGCGCACTGCGCCAATTCGCAAAGCACTCAACATTCTGTTGCCGACAGCGACGCGGGCGTCGTGCCAGTGCGTGCTGTAGATTTTTCTTTCTTTTTGTTTTTCCTATTCGCTTATAAATAGAGCTACTTACTGTCTGTGTGTGTGTGAGAGATTAATTCACTTTTATTTTTTGTTTGTTTTGTTTTCACTTTCATTTGTTGCTTGCAATTAGCCACACCTAACGGAATGTCACAGAATTGCAACCCACAACAGTTGATTCAGTTCGTCAATTGCCGCTTGGTGCGAAATCATCAGCTGATCGTTGACGATTTGTGGGTGCGAGATGGCAAAATCATTAATCCGGAGCCAGTTTTCTACGATGAGCGTGCGACGGCGAACCAGCGCATCGACTGCGGCGGTGCGATCATCGCGCCCGGCTACATCGATTTACAAATCAATGGTAAACAACAGCGAAACAATTACACCAAAAGCAACTGATATTTCACTTTTAATACGCTGACAAGGTCACATAACTTGCGTATATTAATCTAATCGCCGATTTGCCCCACTGTGCTTTAAGCACAGCAATCATAAACAAAGGGAGGATGCATATAAAGCGATAATGGCCGAATTGCAAACAACAACGGTAAACAACAAAATGAGCTGCGTAAGCGCACTAACGAGTGTTAGAGCAGTGTAGCTAGCAAGCAAAGCTATGCATGCTGAGCCCGTTATGCACTCATTACGTTTCTTGAAGAGTGTTAGAGCAGTGCATAGAGTTAGATTTGCATGGCACATATGTATTTAAGTGTTAGAGCAGCACAGATAGCTGCAATTCATTAACCATTCGCATACATGATCAAGCTCTCTCCCTCTTTGTCCCGCAGGTGGCTATGGCGTTGACTTCTCCTACGACAAGGACACCATTGAGGCGGGCGTGCGCAAGGTAGCCGTCGGTCTGGTGGCCAGCGGCGTTACCTCATTCTGTCCCACACTCGTGACCTCACCCAATGACAGCTACCATACGATATTACCGCGTATGCCGCGACACATCGAGGGCGGCGCCGGCATTTTGGGCGTCCATGCCGAAGGACCCTTTATCAATCCACAAAAGAAAGGCGCACATCCAGCCAACTGCATTCAAACTATTGACAATGTGAGTGAATGTGCCGAACGAAATTAACCACAGAAGCAGCAGAGCTAATTAACGGTTAAGTACGAGAGCCAGCAGCCAATCAAAACTAAGTACCCGTTGTATATTTAGCAGTGCTATGGGAATATAGGGTAGATTAGTTTTGGAAAATATTTCTATTGTTTCCCGTTAGCCAATGGCTTATACATATGCTTCTCCCTTCACGTTGCTCAAACTTCTCTCTTCGCTTCTTTCAGGGCATGGAAACGCTGCGTTCGACGTATGGCGATCTAGACCGCATTAAGATAATAACGCTGGCACCTGAGCAGGTGAGCGATGCGAACGTTATCGATGAGCTGGTGAAGGCGGGCATTACCGTCTCGCTGGGCCATTCGATGGCCAGCCTCAGCGATGGCGAGCGAGCCGTTCGCCATGGAGCGACGCTCATTACGCACCTGTTCAATGCGATGCTGCCATTTCATCATCGTGATCCGGGCCTGGTCGGCCTGCTGGCCTCCGATCAAATACCGCCGGGACGTATTGTCTACTTCGGCATCATTGCCGATGGGGTGCACACGCATTCGGCTGCCCTGCGCATCGCCTATCGGACGCATCCCGATGGCCTGATCTTGGTCACAGATGCGATCTCAGCCCTCGGCCTGGAGGATGGCATCCATCACATTGGCCAGCTGCCGCTGGAGGTGAAGCAGGGCCGAGCTTTCATAGCTGGCACCGATACGCTCTGTGGCAGTATAGCGCCCATGGACGAGTGTGTGCGCATCTTCCACAGGGCCACGGGTGAGTCCATCTCGAAGAGCTGTCCCTTTCGTTCTGTCTTCAACCGTTTCCCCCCTTTGCTCAGGCTGCTCCAAGGTCTTTGCCATTGAGGCTGCCACATTGCATCCGGCGCGCTGTTTGGGCATTGAGCGTGATAAAGGAACACTGGACTTTGGCTCCGATGCTGATTTCATAGTGCTGAACGATGATTTACAGGTGCTATCCACCTGGATAGCAGGCGAGCGGGTTTACAAATCCAGCAACTGAACCCTGCCCACGCTACAAACATTCTCTTTGTTGTCTATTTTGCTTCTTTACTTTTGTATTTTTATTTTGTCACTTGTTTTATTTGGATTAGATGACGCTTTAAATTGTTCTTTAATATTTAATTATTAAATCATTTGGTGTGGACAACTACGCTAAATCCATATACATGTACAAATAATAAGTATTACGAAAAAAAAAAAAACACATTTTATATTTATATAAATACACGCACACACGCATATGCACATGCATACATACATATATACGAGCATATATATATGTACGTATTTATGTGTGAATATGTGTGCATGGTTTAGGCGCTTTGGCGTAAGCTACGAAATGTTTCTCCGCCATTTTTTCGTTTCTTTTTGCTCTGCTAGACAATTACATTTGCCAAAAAAAAAAAAAAGAAAATACAAAAATCGAAATACAATTAATCATTACAATATGCAGGCGAATCGTTTCCCTCCTCACTTTCATACATAAACTCTTTCCTAACCAATAACAAAACGGAAAGCAAGTTGCAGCTAAGCTAACTAACGGTTAAACGCAAATAAGCAGGCAGCCAATCAGAATGAAGTACTCGCAAGTATTTGTTGTAGCATTACATACATGTACATATGTGTCTGTCTGTGTTTGTGTGTGTGTGTGTCTGGCTGTGCCTTGCAAATGTATATATGACAAATAATTATAGTTACAGTTACATGTTACAAGTGTGCCCGACAATTTAAAAAAAAACGCGTACATAATTGTTGGCATATTTTAAGTGATTTTTTTCTTTTTTTGTGTTTTTTAAATAATTATCATATACATATACAATATCAAGTGTGTTACACTGTGTGTGTGTGTGTGTGTGCTTGTATGTGTGTGAGGGATAGGGAAATAGTGTTTAAGTCGCATGTGCGTCCGTTTCAGTTCCGTCTGTTCCACTGTTCGCTAAATAGGGCCGCATGCCACAAATGCGCGTGACATGCAAAAATGCAGTTCAATTTGTTGTTGTTCTTGTTGTTGCTGCTTATCAATTTGCAGCTATCGCTGTTTCGTTTTACACTTGGTTCGGTTCGTTGTGCGTTTACAAACGTACGCTGTATTGTTGTTCTTTGTTTGTTTTTTTTTTTTTTTGTTCTTGTAAAATTACTCCAAATTACATTTATACAATATTATAAAACTTTAGGTAGGTTCTTTCGCGGTTGTAACTGCTATTAGTGTGTGTGTACGCGCGTGTGCCTATGTGTGTGTTTGCCAGTTGATTGCTTGCTTTGTATAACAGTTAGCAGTATAACAATTATATACTGCTGGCCCGCCACTTGATGGGGTTATGACACTTGTTAGTTTTGCTTAAAGTTGGCTCTTTTTTTATATTTCTATTTTAACTAATTTACTTTTTTGCGCAGCATAGGAAATGTCATGTGTGTGGAAGCGAGACAGGATGCGCATGAGTACCAGTTAGATTTCAGGGCTGCCACCCAGTAGAAAACACATTGGTTTGATTTTTTTGTTTGTTTCTTTGTTGCTTTTCTTGTTTTTTTTTTTTTTTTTGTTCATATAGTAATAGTAAAGGAGCTATCAAAAAGTTATAAAACACACACTCATCACACACACACACATGCAGTTGCACGCACACAGTTAAGAAAAGCACTAGGTTTTTGCCAAGTTTGTTATATATGTATATATATATATATATTATGTGTAGGTATGTGTGTGTATGTATGTATGTATATGTATGCATGTATGTATGTAGATCACAAAACCAACCGTGAACGTTAAACTAACAGGTGTCATAACCCCATTACGCACAACATTTGCTGTAGCTCGTCGCCTTATCGCTATTGCCGCGATCGATGACAACCCTTTCGGGATTTTCGGACGATTCTCGGCCCGATGTTTTATCTAATATGGCCTCGGCAAGTTCACAAAATGCGCGCTCAATGTTTATATTTGCTTTGGCGGATGTTTCCATAAACCGTATGCTGTGCTCCCTTGCAATCTACAGAGAAAGAAGGAGAGCGAGAGATAGAGAGTGGGTGAGTGATTATGAGCGTAATTCTAAGAACTTTTGTTTATGTATGTATAATTTACCGCTTCGCCGCGCTCTTTGCTGACAACACGCTTGTCCGACATATCGCACTTGTTGCCCAATATCATCTTCTCCACATCCTCATTTGCGTGCTAAAACAAGATAGAGAGAGAGAGAGAGACAGAAAGGGGATGAGTGAATGAGATCGTTTGGAATTTGATTGGATTTGCTTACCTCGTCTATGTTCCGTAACCATTTGACTATATTCTCGAAACTTTTCTCATTTGTTATGTCATAGACGAGCATTATGCCCATCGCGCCTCGGTAATAGGATGTGGTGATTGTGTGAAATCTCTCCTGTCCGGCTGTGTCCCATATTTGTAGTTTAATTTTTTTGCCCCTGAGTTCGACTGTTTTGATTTTGAAATCGATTCCTGCAAGGCAAGCAACAATAACAATCAATCAACAAATAAATAGAAATGGCGAGAGATCGTTTCGCATAGTCCAATTACAGCAATGACGTCACAAGTTGAACTGGTTTATCGTATTGAATGAACATTTGATAATAAATTTATTTAGTTGGAAGTTTGAATAATACAATATAAAAATGCGTAACCTTGTACATATGTATGTGTGAATCATAACACACACACATGCACTCAAGTATTTATATAGATGTATATATATATATATGTATGCGTCATTATTTTTAATCCAGTTTACCAACACTGTGTACATTAAATACCACAGCAGCGCCTAACTACAGCCAACAACAACAACAGCACGCCTTATGCAGGCATCGAATGCGATTCATCAAGTCCAAAGGCTATCGCACGTACATACCAAAATATATGTATATGTATGTATGTACCTGGATATATCAGTATATGCATTATTTACTTGAGCATTCTAGGGCCGACTGGCCACGCCCAATACGCACGGGCAAGTGGCCGTGTCCTTGTTTTTGGGCGCCGCCTACAAAATCTACACACACACACACATACATAAGCATTGGCGATTGACGATGCCGCTCACCAAAACATACACACACACACACACACACACACAGAAAGTCTGCAGGTACATGCACACATGTGTATATCTTCACATACATATAGGTATGCATGTGTGAAGCTATGTTTAGTGTGGACTGCGCCATTTGCTTACCTATGGTCGATATAAATGTGGATGTGAATGCATCATCCGAGAAACGGAATAGTATGCAGGTCTTTCCAACGCCGGAATCGCCAATTAGCAGAAGTTTAAAAAGTAAATCGTACGTTTTCTTTGCCATTTCACGTTACGGCACTCGCACAACACACGCACACACACAAACGCACGCACCTACACGCACACGCACAAACACGCTCGCTCACCACGCACACACACACACACACAGTGGCACTTGCACTCACAGGTTCTTTATAGAACAAAGAACATATACAGAGTGTAGGATACAAAAACAATTATATCGATTGCTATTCGCCTTTGGTATGGTTTCTTTTATTTGATGCAATTCGCGTCTTACTTAAGTGTCCAATCAAAAAAAAATTGGTACAGAACTTTTATACGTTTTAAGCACTTTATTTTTCTACGCAATGCAATTGTTGCTGTTCGCTTTTAGTGTGACCGCAGCGCGAAATGAGAAAATTACCCACACTTGGTGTGAAACGCAAATGCAACTCTGCTAAGCTCGCGACCTACATCAATATATATCGGAAATTTACTTTTTACTATAAACTGAATTCGGTCTATATACATGCAAAATACAATAAAATAGAGTTTCTATAAGCATATACAATATCGTATGCTAGATTTTTGGATGCTAATCATGCTAGCAACAATTTTCGTGCATCATGCAACTCTGTGTGGTGCCGTTGCACAGCACTGCAACCGCGACATACATATAAACAAGGGTACACAATAAATAAATATAAATTGTAAACGTTTCGATTTGTGCACAACATGGATCTGGACTGGCAAAACAGTCTTACAGAGATCAAAGATCGTGGCCAATATCTCTTACACTCAGAGAAATGGGCCGATTGCCGGTTTCTCGTCGGCACACCACCTAACCAACGCATTATATCGGGTCACAAGCTCCTTTTGGCCATGGCTTCGCCTGTTTTTGAACGAATGTTCTATGGCAATTTACCGGACAAAACGGATCCCATCATAATACCCGATGTACAGCCGGAGGCATTTGAAGCAATGCTCGAGTACATATACACGGATCGCATTACAATCGGCTCGTTCGACAAGGCCTGTGAGTTGTGCTACGTGGCCAAGAAATATATGCTTCCACATGTGGTGACGCGCTGCACCCATTTCCTATGGGCCGATCTGAGTCCAAAGAACGCCTGTCGTGCCTACGAGTTCGCCAAGCTGTTCGACGAGCCGCGTCTCATGCAGAGCAGCATGGATCTGATCGCGGCCAATACCAGGGAGGTGCTCTCCGATCCCAGTTTCCTGGACATTGAGGTCTCCACTCTGATGGCCATATTGGATCAGCATCGCTTGAACATTGACTCTGAGCTAGATTTGTTCAATTGTCTGCTGAAATTTGCCAGCGAACGCGGCATTCTGAACGAGAACGGTAACGAGGAGGCGGCTAGTGGCAGTGGCAAATCCTCTGCTTGTGCGGAACAAGCAGCCGCAGCCGCCAACGACATGATCGAGGAGATCAAAATGGAACCAGATGTGGCGGCCATGGTGCAGCATATGCACCAGGACGAGGACGTTGAGAGCTACAAGCAGCCCACTGGCAATGGCTCCGCCGGCAACTCACCCGTTCATCCAGCCGGCAGCAGCTGCTCCTCATCGACATCGAATGCAAATGCAAATGCGAATGCCAGCGCTGCCATTGTCAATGACGATGTGGTGATCATTGACAGCGATGCATCCGGCAATGCCAACGAGGAGGAGATGAACGCAGCGGAGGCAGCCGCCAATATGATCAACATGATGGACGCACAAAGGACGATCATGGACGGTGCAATGCTGCGGCAGGCCGTCAAGAAGATACGCTTCCTCACCATGACGCCGCAACAGTTTGCCGAGGGTCCGGCACGCTCCAAGCTGCTCAAGCAGCACGAGGCCCTCGCCATACTCATCAAAATCTCCAGTCCCACACTGAACGATTGCAATATGCCGGAGGGATTCTGCGTGTCGCGGAGCACGCGCAACTTTTACGAGTCGGCGCACAGGCAGCGGGAGCTCAGCTCCTCCTATCGGAGTGCCAACAATCCGGCGAATGCAGCCAACGGCTTCCCGGGCCCCGCCACGCGCACCAACCAGCCGCTCTTCACGCGTCAACGCATCAGCGTACCGCTCAACCTGGGCGCCAATGCGGGCGCAGCGGCGGCCGCCACCGTCGATCATATACCCGCATATGGCTTTAGCTTTGAGGATGAGCCGCTGCCGATGCCCAATGCCGGCGCCTTTGGCGATGCCTACGACGGTCCACCGCCGCCAGTCGCTGCAGCCGGAGCAGCAGCAGCAGCCGCAGCTGCAGCAGTTGCAGCGCCAGCGGCACCGCCGCCCGGCAGCGATAACGATGTCATTGTGGCCAGCAATTCGCATCACGATATGACACGCTCCTACTGCATGCGCTCCATAGCCAGGCAGTTCGATTATCGCAACACCAGCGTCACTGACTGTGGCGTCACCTTTCAGGTATGTGGATAGATCGCATGCGAATGAATCGATCTTGAAGCGAATCTCTAATTTGAATTGATCTCGTGCCAGGTGGACACAAACATTTGGATCCTGGGCGTGCAGGTGCCCACGCAGGTGCTTTGCGGTGAGCTGATGAATTCGGCTGGCTTTGCGGAGCGGTACACGGAGGTGCTCTACGCTCACATACAGGACATGCATGGCTCGCGCATCACGTATACGCACTGTACGGCCCGGGTGCGATACGATTCGCATTTGGACATCACATTCGATCGGCCCGTCTACATCTATCGCAATCAGATCTACAAGATCTATGTGGTATTCAATAAAATGGGCTGGTATCCGATGTATTCGTGTGTGCCGGATACGGTGCGGCAGCGCGTCAAATTCATGTTCAATGTGGGCAATCCGACGGAATCGGTGCGCGACGGTCTCATCTATGCAATTATATTCTCGACGCCGCAGGATCATGCGCGTCATCTGATCGATTGATCGACCAAAAATTGACGAATAGCAACAACAACAACAACAACAACAACAAATGCGATCAACGAATTTGAGATGTGATAGATTTTTGTTTGGATCCCAATTTTCTAGCTTTCTGTCTTTCCACTGTTCCAGAATTATTATTTTTTCGGCAGCACAGTGAAATCTGGCATTGACGGACGACTTTACAGCATTTTTCTCTTCCCTATTCTTTTTTCTAGTTTTTTAAGTCAACTTTTGCTTTATTAATAAATATATTTAAAACAAACGAAATTTTTGGAAATTCCTTATTAATTGAGGAAGAGTTTAAGAGAAAAATGTTTTTTATTTTTGTAAGTGATATAATATAAACGAAGGCTTTTAATGAGATTTCACATCCTAGACCACAAATAGGCAGTATATACGTAGGTAGTAGGATAGAATAATAGATAAGTATTAGATATAAAGGAAGTAGATACATATATGGTAGATAGATGGATAGATAGGTAGTATATATAGATAGACAGGTAGTATATATATAGATAGTCAGATAGTATATATAGATAGACAGGTAGTATATATAGATAGACAGGTAGTATATATATATATAGACAGGTAGTATATATATAGATAGCCAGGTAGTATATATGGATAGACAGGTAGTATATATATAGATAGACAGGCAGTATACATATAAATAGACAGATAAGTAGATGGATAGATCTATATATCTAGATCTACATAAGTATTAGATGAAAAGGAAGTAGATACATATGTATATAGTAGATAGAAAGGAAGTAGATAGATGGATAGATAGGTAGTATACATATAGACAGGCAGTCCATATATAGATAGACAGATATGGTAATTGATATATATGTATGTAAATAGAAAGATAGACAGTAGATAGGAAGGAAGTAAATAGACAAATAGAAGATAGATCGAAAGTATATAGATAGATAGTAGATAAACAGGAAGTAGATAGATAGATAGAAGATAGAAAGAAAGTAGATAGACACATAATAAATAGCAAATAGATAGACCTCATAAATTATCCGGTTAGTTAATAGATATTGTGAGGAGATTTAGATCCTAGGAGATCCCTTAAATCCATCAAAGAATTGCTTCTCTTATGCACACACACAGGCAAGAAATGCACACACATTCACACTTATTTGGAACTATTGAAGATTATATATTTATACATACATATAAAAATATACTTTGTGGGGTCTGCGATGATTCCTTCTGCCCGTTACATACTTTTACACAAAACCATTATACCCTGGTTTCCCATTCTCAATGGGTTCAGGGTATAAAAAACTCTGAAATTCTGCTAAAAATAGTATTAGGAATCAAGCAAAGCACCATTATGCAGTTAGTTTCTTAAGGCAATTTCTAATTATCGAAGTATAAGAATAATATAATATAGAATAATATAATATATACCTTACCTAAGGCTGCTGCCTGGCCTTATATATATATACATATATAGTTGCTATAAATGAATGGAATATATTGGAACTCTTCATTAATATATGAAAAGATACACAAATAATAAATAACATACATTATATATATATATATGTATATACCTTTTTTATATACATATGTATATGTACATATATACCTTTTTTATATACATATGTATATTCATTATATGTATACCTTCATATGTATATACATACTCTATAAATATACCTTTATAGGCCACAAATAATAAACGATAATTTGACTCCAAATAAAACAAAATTTTGTTTCAAAAATATTACAATAAATAAATTTAAACTTTATTGCATATAGAGCTCAATTGGAAAGTAACAAAAAATATATATGAAAAAAATATACAAAAATTGGAAGAAAAAAAAAAAAAAGTTAAATTAAATGATTCGATAATTATTGCAATATTTGATGCTAGGAAATGAGAGCAAAGTGCGAGCGGGATAGCCACAGAGCAGGTGCACAAGAGACAGAGAGCGAGTCAGAGAGAGACAGACAGACATACAGAAAGATATAGAGAGAGTCAGAGAGAGAGAGAGAGAGAGAGAGAGAGAGTGAGAGAGAGAGAGTGAAAGCGAGACAGCGAAGCTTTACATATGTACAGTTGAGTGTGAGCTGCTTGGTGTTCAACAGTTTCATCATCTTCGTCTTCTTCTTCTTCTTCTTCTTCTTCGTCTAGCTCACACTATTTGCCATAGTTGGCACAACTGCCGCTGGCATATTCGGGATCCTCGCAGGTGAGCGTATGCTCGTCGAAGACCTTGTCCTCGCCGCAGCTAATCAGACGCGGATAGCCCTCCACGCAGGTGATCAAGCGATGGCAATCGCCCTGCACGGGGAAACGGGGGAAGGGCCAGAAGCGAGCGGCCACCGAATTGGGATCGACTTTAGTGGGGCACTTGAAGCCAACAACAGCTGAAAGAGAAATCAAGAGATATTAGAATAGAACTGGGCGTTAACCGAATGACTAATCGATTTATCGATTAATCGATGTGTATTATTCAATTCCGTTAAAGTAGCTTAAGAAATTATACTAAACTCATTTACGAATTCGATTCACAAGGTTTCAGCTATTGAAGATTACTGATCTAGAACTTGATCAGACTAGAACTAGTAGAACTTCTAGTTCATGAACAATTGACGAAAATCGCTCATGATAGAGTATTTAAGAAAAGCTGAATAAGAAACGCTGTGTGGGTAAATTAACTAGAGTACTGATCAGTGATCTTTATCGCTAAACTGATCACTGAAAGAGCTGAACTAGTTCATTTGAATGAGATGTTCAATTGAATTTTCTCGTAAGCCATTAGGTGATCTGTTATCTCAGACACTCACCCTCGGGATTGCAGTGATCGAGCAGCTGATCGGGCCAGTTGCAGCCATGGATGCGTTCATCGTACGCCAGACCCGCATCGCAGTCCTGTTCGTGGGGCTCGCCGTGGGCGCATTTGATGTAGGTGGTGGAGCATTCCTTCGAGACGGCGTACAGACCAAACTGATACTCACAGCCAGGTGTCGAAATGGGCGTGGCTAAGGCAGAGCATGAGAATGAACAGAAGAGAGAGAGAGAAATTAATATCGCATTTCATATATCTCGATTTCTATACTTACGATCCCATTGACGGCCTTTGCAGTCGACGGCCCAGTTGTAGTTGCAGTGATTGTGCACGGCGCCCTTGCCATCGAAGAGCAGACCGTTCTCGCAGGTCTCCAGGGTCAAGGTGCCGTTGGTGCAGAGGAAGAACTGATCACAGTTCTCGGTATGGGCATAGGCCTGAACGCCATGCTTCTCGGGGCATTCGGGTGTGCCAACAGCCAAAGCATTTGCTGTAATGCAACAAACATAGATAGTTAGCGATTGTTATCGATATCGATATTGTTATCGGTCGTAATTGTTATCGATTTTAATATAATGCTCGAGTTTTGAATTTCATTGCATGCATATATCTATATGAAAATAAATTATTGGGTACTATCGATAGCGACATAGTTATCGATATAACAATCACTTAGTAATCTGCTCATTTTCATACATACATCTTGCAGTGCTATCTATATTGTCATCGATAGTGCCAATACTAAAATAATCGATTACTTATCGAAACTACTTTCGTCATCTAACTAGCTCCCATTCCGCCTATTACATTCCAAACATGATTACACACGTTGGTGCAGTTAAATGGACGTTATCGTTATCGATAAGTAATCGATTTATGTGCCAATTTATAGGTATGTCATTTGCAAATGAAGTACTTTGCTATTGGTCGCTGTGTATTATTGTTATCGCTATCGTTATCTGTATCGCTATCGTTATCGTTATCGCTATCGTTATCGTTATCGCCGCTGTCTCGCATGTCGAGGAAGTGTCGCCCTCATCACCATTCCCCACTGATGCCAATGGCCATTATTAAACTTGAAAGCGCACACTTCCTTCCTACCCAGCGACTGTCAACTGGTTTCGCTAAGTGTGCTGCTGTCAGTGTTGCAAGTGCAAGTGTTGTAAGTGCCTGTCAGTGTATGCGTGTGAGTGTGAGTGCGAGTGTGAATGTGACAAGCTTTCGGCTTTCGAGCATCTTCGCGTCTAGCGCCGGCTTTGGATGATGTAACCGAGGCCCAGAGATTTGCGACTTGCCTCGGGCAACGGGTTAAAGCACCGCAAACTGTTTTCATTTTCATTTTCATTTTAAGTGCTCGCTGTGAATTTCGTACGGCATTTGCAACTGTTTATGCATTTGCTTAACACTGCTAAAGATTTCCGGCAATTAATTTACCAACACTTATCGATAATTTTCTGTCCGAAAATAAAACGTTTAACGTTTCGCAAAAAAAAAGCGAAATCTGTTTTTTTTTTTTTGTGTTAATTTTTGTTCAATTTCTTCACCTTTTGAAGTCGCACAGAAACTCGTTGGGCCGTCAACATTTCCAGACGTTTTTTTTCAGCTTTGTATTTATATTTTAGATCGAAATTTTATAATATCCAATGTGATTAGGTCTAATGGTGAACTGGTTTGACGGGCCGAGTTCTGCTTTGACTTTGTGGCTTTTAAATGTTTGGCATTTGTTTTAATTAGGGTTCGAATACGTAGACGAAACACACAAATACACTGCACGAAAAGCAAGTGCGTGTGCTAAGCGAAGCTATAAAAGGTTTACATGTGTTTAAGAAAAGTTAATGAATGCCTAATATATTTAAAAAATTTGACAGCAGTTCTGGAAAATACCAAAATATACTTAACATACTCTATCTAGTGTTAAGTATTTATAAAAAATATTTATATTTTTTTCAGTGTATTTATATGTATTAATATCATATTTATTAGTATTTATATTATATTATTATTTATTATTTTATTTTATTTTATATTATTTTTATTTCTGATCTATATCTAATTGATTAATTAATTTTTATTATTTTTTTCTTTTTATAAATTGTCAATATTAATATTCAAGTTAAAAACCTTACTTTGTGTTAGGCTTTTCCCTTAATTGTTACGATTTTTTCGTTCAGTGTTCCAAGAAAAAATCTTTAAAGTTGCTTAAACTAAAAATTTAATCTCTCCTATTTTTAAAATATATATTTTTTCCGTTTTTGCAGTGTAAATTTAGAATTTGGAAATTAAAAATGAAATGATATGCAATAAATTAGAATTTACTTATTAGCTATTTTCTCTCAGTGTATAATGCTTTGTTTATTTATTTAATGCCAAATTATAAATAATTGAACTGAGCTGCGCTCAAATTGCCTACATAATTTTGCAACTTGAGCAATAATTGGCATCAACTTGAAGAGCTTTAATTGTATATTGTATTTAAGCAGCTATAACTGGAAATATATTATTTACGTAATGCATTATTTATTTTTATTTCTCTCAGTGTACGACAACAGTCAGCTAGCCGCAGCAGACAGCGACTGGCTCAACAAAAGCAAAAGTTATAAACGATCAGCTATTGGAATACTGGATCTGCATGCCAAATGAGCTTGAGAATTCTAGGTAGCTATCGTAGCTGTAATGGGGCGTATTTGACCGCACCTCCCCCTGTTCCCCTGCTAGCAGTACGCCAAGCTGTTCAGGGTTAAATGACAACGAGCTGCCGCTGCTGGCTAGCTAATTGGAGCAGAAAGGCGAATGGGAGGCAAGTCTTTGGCATAGCCTTGAAGCTGTCCAACCGAGAGTAGACAGTAGACAGTAGACCCAATCCAATTCGAGAACAACAGGCCAATAACCCAATTAGAAAATGCTGCCATTCCAATTGGCGTACAATTCGTTTTTGAAAGTAAAAGCTCAGCTCAGGGCTTAGCACGCCATGGAAGGGGGTTGCGCTAATGCCAAATATGCGCATGCCAGCTCGCATTCCAGCGACAACTGCACAGGTTGCACAGTAGCTATAACTGTAACGATAAACAATATGGCTTCCACTTACCGTAAGCAATGAATGCCAGGATCAGGACGCAGCTCAATTGTGCGCGTTGCATGTTGGCGGCGAAGACGAAAACACGTAACAAACGGTAACGGTAACAGTAACAGCCGAAAATGGCAAGCAGGCGATAAAAAAAATAATCAATTGATTTGGGAAAAAAATAAACAAAAATTATAACAACAACAAAAACAACAATGGCAATGACAACGGCAACGGCTACGACAACGTTTCAATTTGAATTCAACAGCGCGACACTTGAAATTCCGCTGCACGTTTTAACGGTTACGCGTTCCAAACTCAACTGAAAAGATTTATACCGCGCTCAAGAAGAAGAAGCAGCAGCAGCACCACCACCACCAACATTGGCCGTAGCGCAGCGGCAGCAGCGCCGCCCGCAGCAGCGATCGCGGCGACAGCAATAACAAAAGTTTTGCAAAGCTTTATTTTTTTGGCGTTTCGTATTTGAATTGCCGTTGCCGAGCAGCGGAGGGTATATAGCGCAGGGGGAGGGGAAGTATTAGCAATGTGCGGTGGGTGGGTAGCTGTGCAATAAAAAGGGGTCGACAGGGGCAGAGGCTATGCGGACGGCTAATACATGTGTATGTGTGCGCAGGTACTTAGGCAAGTCATGCGTGTGTGTATGTGCATGTGCGCAGGCAAACCAAAGCATGCGTGTGTGTGCGCGCAGGTACTTAAGCAAGGCAAAGCATGCGTGTGTGTATGTATGTGTGTTTCTGTTGTCACAGCGAAGGCGCGCGCGCGCAGCGTTTGATTGAACAATATTTGGTACAAAAACAAAAATGCAAAACAAGATTTGGGCTTTTGCTGCTGCTGCTGCTGGCAACATGTGTGATTGAAAGTAAAAGGCAAAGCTCAAGCTGCTCGTAAGCTTACCATTCATTGATTGCATTCGGGCCGCGGGCTTCGTGTCTCGGCTAAGCTACGTCGTCATCGTCGTCGTGTTTGTTGTTGTCTGCATTGTGCTTGCCTTCGTCTTGCCGATTACCGTTACATTGTTAACTATTGCAACACTGTTTGCCGTTGCTGCTGTTGTTGTTGGTTTTGGTGTTGCTGTTGCTGTTGGTGTTGCTGTCTGTGTGGCCAGCGAGAATTGCGTAACATAACTTAGTGCGCTGCACTTCGGTTTAGGTGCCGAGCATAACAGTTACATTGTCGTGTTTGCCCATGCAGACTTACAGCAGCGGTCTTCCAAGTACAGTAGGCAACAAAGTAAATATTTTGAGAATAATTTTAAACGAATATTCAGATTGTCATGTATTATTATTATTTAATTATTATGTATTTTATCTAATAAGTAAATAATAATAATAGTAATTATTATGTGTTGAGAGAATCATTAAGTTTACTGTTATTTTATGACCACCGCTGTATGTATGTATGTATGTATGTGCACTTTGATTGACAGGCAGAGCTGTTGACTGTATGCTGTATGTGTATATGTATGTGTAAGCCAGATATTTATAAAGGGCATATACAGCCACATATTTCTTCTCAGTTACATACACACACACTTTCGTATATAATTATACATATTTATTTACTTCACATTTAAGTAAGGATATTCAAAAGTCAGTAGACCTTTGAATGCATTTTCCCAGTGTTAACCCGTTAGTGCCCGTTAGTGCAATTAACGGTTATTATGTTGCTGTTGACAAAGGGTTAATAAGGTGTGCTCAGCTTGCATGGCAGCAAGAGTAGGGCAGGAGGAGGAGGAGCAGGGAAGAGGAAGGAGGAGGGCCTGAGCAAGGGGAAGGGAATGGAATATCAATTTCATAATAAGATGCGAATAGATTGAGCTAGCGAATTGTGGATTTATTATTATATCGACTTGCCCTCGATTTGTTCATAATTTGCACATATGTATGTATATAAATATGTAAGTATGTATGTATGTATGTATGTATACCCAATACATCTTCAGCATTTGCAAGATAGCCAATAGTAGGGAAAATAACAAACCAATAAATAAAGGCAAAACAAAAAAAAAAAACAATTGGCATTATTTCAAGTCTTGTTATTTAATCGAATGAGTTGGCAAATGTAAATGAACTGTTTTGTTTGTTGATGTTGTTGTTGTTGTTGCTGTCATAGATATTGTTGTAAATATTACGATTGATCTGTGATCGGGAAAGGGATTTACAATCGAAAATGGGGCAGCAGAGAAAGAGAAAGGTGGAAAGAAAATAAGGGCATATAAAAGAAATATAGTAGGGAACAGCACACACAGAGCGAGAGAGAGAGAGAGAGAGAGAGAGAGAAAGAGAGAGCCAGAGCAATGGAATGTTTGGGATAGAAAGAAAAAGAGATAGAGAGACAGGTAGGAAGATAAAAATATAAGGAATAGAGAGAAATAAATGAAGAAAAATTAGAGAGAAAGCCGGAGAGAGAACAAGCCGGAAGAGATAGAGACTTTTAAAAAGATCGAGATACATATATCAATATTAGTAGCGATATATTGAGATAAACAAATAAAGAGACAGTGAGAGAGAGATGAGACAAAATCGCTCTCTCTCTCTCTCTCTCTCTCTTTTCCAGAAAAATAAATACATATAGAGAAAAGTTGAGAAATAAGACTGATATCAAGTAAGTAGCAACAGAATTTAGAGAGAGAGAGTGACATAGAGAGAGAGAGAGAGAGAGAGAGAGAGAGGCAAATATAGATAGAGAGAGAGAGAAAAGAGGAGAGTTAAGGAAATATACATATATCTCTGAGACAACAGAAAAATTAGTGAATAATTAAAGATAGCACAAAGAGCAAATACTGAAAGTATTTATATATAGTATATGTATATATAGTAAATATTATATACATATGCATATAAATTTTAAGTAATATTAGATGTAATTATATCATGAGTGTTCAGGAAGGCTTCAAGAAAATTATTTATTATAATTTTGCTTGAAAATTATTGATAAGAAATAAAATAGATAATAAGAAAATAGAAAAGTAAGGATTCGTTTGGAAGAGAAAAAGAAATATCAGAATAGCTTATGAAAGAGAGAGATAGGAATTGAAATATTAAAAGACTTTTATAAAAAGCTCAGCCATAGATGAAGGAAGTAAAGGAAATACGAGTTTAAGTGATGATAAAAAATCAAAGATGAAAGAGCAAAGATGAAAGAACAATTAATAATCAAAGGTCCAAGGTGGTATATATAAGATGAAAGGCCAAAGATTAAAATAGATTAAGTAGAAATGAGACATTATTCAAAAGAAAATCGAAATTAGGCAGCTGAAAGTTAAGAAGGAAATAATTATAGTATGTGCTCGATAGATATATACGATAGTCGATAGTAGAGAAAAAGAAGGTTGTAGAAAAGAATGTAAAAGAGTGCAGATAGTGTATAGAAAAAGTTTATTATTTTTTATTATTCTTGTTTTTTGTAATTCTTTTTTCTTTTTGTGTTTAAACAAAGAGGAAATATGTACACAACGATAGATCAGTTAAAGAGTACAGAAAGTGGAAATACAGTATATGAAAGAGAAGGAGGAAACAAAAGAGAGAGAGAGTGAGAAAGTGTGTGTGTTTGTGCATAGGGGAAAGAAGAACAGATAGCGAGTCGAAATTAACGAGTAGCTTATCGAAAGTAACGATTAAGGTAACGAGTACAACGAGTAACGAGTCAAAAGTCACGAATAGCGAGTCGAGAGAGTAACGAGTATCTAGTCAAAAGTAACGAGTAGCGAGTCAAAAGTAACTAGTTGAGAGTAACGCTTCATAAAGAGGCTAGCAACGACTTTTAGTTTAGCTGACTAACACGCGCGTCCTTCCGCCGTCCTGACAGTCCGTCCAAGTCTAACTTAATGTGTGTGTGTGTGTGCCTTAGACGCGCGCAAGAATGGGCGTATATGGTATTTTGTTTTGTTTTGTTGTTTCTTCTTGTATTTTTTTTTTTTTATGATATCAGGGAATGGGTTGAAGCTCAGCTCCTGGACGAAGGCTTCTTGTTGGTGCCGTCGTCATCGTCACTGGTATCCTTGTACCAGTCCTCGCAGCCGGGCACATTTTCGGGCGCATCGCACATCTCAGTCACGTCGTTGTAGACCTCGCCCAGCTGGCAGCCCAAATCTCTGGGATCCACGCCGCCCAGGCAGACATAGAACTTTTGGCAATCGGTGGGATGGGGATATTTGGGATGGGCGACAACCTGGCCGTTCGCATCCATTTTTGGCTGATTCTTGGGGCACGAGAAGCCGCTCTCAGTTTTTTCTACAAATGTGAGAAGAGATGAAAGAAAAAAGGGAGAGATCGGAAATCAAGGATCAATGAGTTAGTTTTGCTTGTCTTTGGACTTTCAAGAATTCAGCACTCACTCTCTGGATCATCGCAGCCCTCACGCTTGGCCGTATCCGGCCAGACACAGGTGCCGGAATACTCGTCGAAGTGCAGGCCAACGGTACACTTCATTTCCAAAGCATCGCCCTCAATGCAGTTGTAAAAGATGTTGCAAATATTCGGCTCCGGATGAGCAAAGAAACCATTTTTGCGCGGACAATACTTAGTGGACTTGGGCTCCTCTATAGGAATTCAAATAGATAAACATCGATTTTAGATATAGACATAAAAAATAACATAGTTTTTATTGGGTACTTGGGGGATTTACTTACGCAAGAGCGTGCGATCCTCGCAGTCCACATTGAAGGGCTGATCGCATTTGTTGATCTTGCGATTCAATGGATCGAAGACAAGGCCATCGGGGCAAAGTTTTGCTTTGGCCACACCGTCCACGCATTCATAATATTTGTCGCATTGCTCTTCGTCGGCGAATTGGCCAGTGGGTTTGGGGCACTCAAAGTCGACAGCGGCGACTGCGCAGAGAAATGGAGAGAGAGAGAAAGAGAAAGAGAGTTCATTAAACTTATTGCCTTGCTTTCACCCAGACCTCGGTTTCCTGTTTGGGAAAAGTGTAACGCTTGGAAAAATCAAATCAATAAATAACTGATCGATTGATCAATTTGGCTTTTTTTCTTTCATATATACATATTTTTTTTTCTTTTTTTATCTCATTTTTCCTGTTTGCGGTTGCATAAGCGCACGGCCAGTCCCAGTCCCAGTCCCAGTTCCAGTTAACAGTTTGATCAGTTGCCAGTTCCAGTTCCAGTTTTTCATTCCAGCGCCAGCCGGTTTATCGTTTACCCGTTTCGCGCTCCCCCACCCCTCCCCACACTGCTATCTGCTTCTCTCACACACACACACACACACCCACACGCCCATGCAAATGGCAACTGAAATGTCAGACAGGGTCGACCCATGGCATATAAAAGAACGCAATGCAATACGTGTGCGTATGTCTGTGTGTGTGTATGTGGCTAATCGATTGCAAAGCCTGCATATACCGTTAGCTAACGGACACCAGCTAATGGCTGTAGCGAGCGCAGCTGCGTACATCAATGCACACAGACAAGCATAAGCACACACACACACACGCACATACACATGCGTAGCCAATGCCAAACTGATTAGCACAAAGTTGCCAATACGAGATTTTAACTTATTTATTTTATATGATTTTTTTTTGTGGTTAAATAAAATTAATGCATATTTTGTCACTCACTTGTCGCCGCCACACAAAGCATCACAGCAATGGCACATAAAAATAATTTCATTTTGTATCTTTGATTTACAACTAGATTTACATAAAAAAAAAAATAGTACGATATGTGCTCCTTTAAGCAAGAGTTGGAAAAAATTCTGTTTTCTTCTCTGCGACCAACTAAATCGCGACTTAAGCGTGCGATGGTTAAACTTAAACTAACAACGGAACGCCAAAGAGGCGCACTTTTCAAGACTTTTTTACCGGTAACAGCGCAACGGCAAACGCGGCAATGCGGCGACGCCAGCAGCGCCGTTGGCGTCGCAACGTTGGCGACGATGATGCTTGGGCGCAGGCGCTAAGCCATAGCCTGGAAGATGGCGGCGGCAGCGCAGTTCGCGCAAAGCGACACAGCGAAGAAAGGCAAGGTAAGGCAAAGGCAAAGCAAAGCTGTAATGAAGCAAGTAAATACATATGTATGTACATACATACTTACAGATGTTTGTCTGTACATATGTACATGAGCGTATCTGTATGTTTGCACGTACATATATTCAATTTGTATGTGCCTGATGAGAAAATAAAAATCAAAGAGCTAACAAAAACAAATAACAAAATTCATATGCGCCAACGCTTTAGCCGAAACTTCGCCGGGTTAACGACGCGCATGCAAATGCTTCGACAATTTACAGCAATAAAAAAGTACAAAATAACCAAAAATAACAACAGCGACGACAAAAGGCAGACGCAATTGGAAGACAAAAGTCACAAAACCTTTCAAATCGCAGCCATAACAAAAGTGCAGCTATACACATACATACATATAGACATACATATGTATGTGTACACATGTGTGTATGTGTATTTGCTTCTGTTTCTGCATGCACAAGTGGGCACACTTTATAAATAAGCAAATTACACTGCAGCCTTTCTCTTACATGGCCAGCCTTGCCAGATGCCAGGACAAATTCGCCTTGAAGCAGGAAACCAAAATGGCGAGAACTACATGTATGTATGTATGTATGTATGCATGTGTGAATGCATGTGTGGCCAGCCATGCTGATAAATGTATCTGATGATTAACGAAATATGCATAATATATGTACACAAATACGCATACATTTATACACTGTATGTGTATGTAAATGCGATTATATGCTAAATGTGACGCACACGCAATGCCCCGAAAAGACAACAACACGAAACCCGTTGTCCTTGGACAGGCCGGCAAAACAGCGCGAGTATGTTCAAAAACAAAAACGAAAACAAAATCAAAATGAAAAACAGGCTAACCCAACCTATAAAGCAGTTAGCAACTAGTTAAAGTTAATTTAAAATAATAAAAACCCACACACAAACATACATAACTTTTACTCTCGTTCAAAAACAGCAAAACGAAAAAAAAATAAAGACACCAACAACAAAATGGCAGTCTGGCAACTTCCAGCGACTTCTAAGAAGAAAAAGCAACAACAACAAACAATTTTAAGTGAGCAATTTAATTGCAAATTATGCGCGTATCGAATTGTAGATATCTATGTATATCTATCATTATAAAGCGTTTCCCTATAGCGACAGACAGACATAGACAGTTATACAAATATACATACATACATACATACAAACAGCTTTTGCAATTATCTAAAAAACAACTGTTAAATCACTTTGTTGCTGTAACCACAGACAGATGCGCTGATTTATCATGAGCAACAGCAGCATTATCATCAACATTATCATCATTATTAGCATTATCATTATCGGTATCATTATCAGGTTGCAACTTGGTAAGATTTTGTAATTCAAGGTTTTCTTTATGTTTGTTTTAAGAGAAAAAGAAAAAGCTTCAACATTCATTTTGCTCCCAAAATACATGTTTGCTTACAGGACATCAAAAGAACGACTACCAGATACCCTACAGCTTCGAATCATCCCAAACACACTGATCATAGTTGACCCAATCGGAAAATCAAGCTGCTTAACATTATAATGAATCGGTTTTCATCAATTTTCGTTAGACTTTTCATATCATCTACGATGATTTAGCTTTTACAGGGTATTTCCCATCACAGAAATAAATTAATTTTAATGGAGTTTTTAGAGCTTTAGCTAAACATATTTAATCTAGATAAAAACTACACAGCATACCCGATTTTATCCATCTCTGGTACAGGGTATTGGCCATCATCAGCTTTGGCGATTCACACAGATGAGTTAATTTTTAAAGGGAGTTACGAAATCGATGCATATGCAATTTATAGGCCATCCAGTTTTTTGGTTGTTTCTTCTCTTTGTTGCTTTTACAAAATCAAGATGCGCCAACCCAAATATCAAGCTAATTGATGAAGAGGAAGAGGATCAGAGATAACCAAAATATCGAATAAATATGCATATGAATAAAAAGCTAAAGAAAAACACAAATAATATAAACGAATTAAAAGGCAGGGCGTGCTGCCAGTCAAAAGTGAACGAACCGCCAACTATGTCAAAGTCAGAGTATGTGTATGTGTGTTCGTGTGTGTGTGGGTGCCATAAGGTAGAGCTAGAGCTATTAACTCTCTTTCACATGGCATTTGTTGCCATCAGGTCAGCTAAACACAATTAGCAGTTAATTGCATACATACATACATTCATACATATACATACATGTATATAAAAAGGGTCACTTAATATGCCAATTGCAAACGATTGTCCCGTTATGTTGCATTGAATGACAATCGCATTGAAAATGACAATGACAATGCCAACAAGTTCTCTCGTTTAGCTTTCTATTTCCATTCTTACGATTTCACTTGACGACCAAATGTCTTGAGTATTAATTAATGTCAGTTTGATAGTTTAACAAACCAACAACATTTTCTTTTCCGAAAGCCAACAACAAATTTATGCATGTATTCAATAGCTTTTAACAAATGTATATTTGAATTTACGCGCGTTGCTAACTAAAATAATATGTACCAGTTATTTTTTTTAAATTAGGCGCGCTCTCACAGGCACTGCCAGCATAAAATATGGGCATGTTCTTAGTTGCTGCCATTTACATTATTGAACGCATACATGTATTTTATATGTATTGAAACTATTTGTATGTATAAATAAAGGTTAATAACTTAAGTAAATATTTTAGCACCTTCGCTTGCATAATTTAAATTCTAAACATGCAATAATTACGCAAATTAAACTATTGAGAAAAGTGCTGCCACACTATTCAGCCAACTAAAATAAAGTGCAGTATTTTTTGTGCATCGATTATTTAGTAATTTTTCATTGCCCATTGCGGTCACACTAGACCTATTCGCAAAACATTGCAGTCGCATTTTCAATTGGAATAAAATGTTATATTAATTACAATTGGAATATATACTAATTAGTTTGCAAACAACATTTCAAGGTGCGTTATTAAAAAAGAGTGTTGAGTCCAACTACTGTGTGCTGTGATGTATTATTTTATGCGATGGCTGTGAAAAGAAAAATGGGCACAGCAGCGAAAAAGTGGAAAACGACGTCACAACGGCGACAGCGCTGTCGCTGCCACAGCAAATGCTGCCACTGCTGCTGCTCATCTTTGAGTATTGATTTTTTTTGTGTGTGAGTGGGTGCTTGTGTGTGTGTGTGTGCGTTGGAAGTTATATTGGCTGCAGTACAATTTGCACACTCACACGCAGGCAGAGTTAACTTTTGGGCAGTTAATGTTGTTGTTCTTGTTGCTGTTAGTGGTGACATCATCAAAGCCAGCTGCGCTTACCAATATTGCTTACAACTGATTCATAGTTTGGCTTTTTCTATAAATTTTTGTTTCTTTTGTGCCGCAGCTTTCGAACTGCACTTGCTGTAGTTGTAGTTGTTGTTGTTGTAGCACCGGATTCGCCTGAAAAACTCGCCCACCCCCAACTCCTAATCGAAGAGCAGCAGCTGTGCAAAGTGTCGAGCGTTGCCACACCTCAAAAATGGATCGAAAGGCTGAGCTGGAGCGCAAAAAGGCCAAATTGGCCGCACTGCGCGAGGAGAAGGATCGCCGGCGCCGTGAAAAGGAGATCAAAGACATGGAAGAGGCAGCCGGACGCATTGGCACCGGCACCGGCATCGACAAGGATCAACGCAAGTCAGTTAACCCATATACATATAAAATATAGTATTCGAAAATATATAAATCTCAATTATACAATTTGCTTGCAGAGATCTAGATGAGATGCTTTCGTCGCTAGGCGTTGCGCCCGTTTCGGAGGTGCTGTCCTCGCTGTCATCAGCCAATTCGCTAACCTCGGATAATTCCAACACACAAACGCCCGACGTTAGCTTGCAGGCCAATGTGAATGGACAAGGGTATATATTAAATGCAGCTGCTTCTATATTGTATTATATATAAAATCCTTCAATATAATCTAATTGTTATTCTGTTCTATTCTAGCGCCGGCAAGAAGCAACCTTTGAATCTAAGCGTATACAATGTGCAGGCCACAAACATTCCACCAAAGGAGACGCTCGTCTATACGAAACAAACACAGACCACAAGCACCGGCGGACATGAACGTGACGGTATGATATGTATACCCTATATACACTATATATGTTTACCAATTATTAACCATGCTAGCTAGTATTTAATATCCATAACAATGTCTTATACCATATATAGAAATATATATATGTATATCAAAAAGTATATATATATATATTTGTATAGCTCCTGTGTAAACACTTTCCATAGTTTGTTTTCTACAAGTTTTTTTTTTTTTTGTTTGTTGATTTGATTTGTTAGTTATTATCTATATGTTTGTCTAACTGAAAAGTTGTCTGTATGCCTGTGCCGAAACTACAGTATGTATTCGCTATGTGCGACGCCTGTAAACCCTACCTACGAATATCCTTTTCCCATTACTTGTATTGCGCTTCAAATACTCGATTCAGATAGCTTTCCTCTATATATATGTATATACATATAGTAGATATATATACATAAATACATATATATATATATATATATTTAAGATATAGAGAGCAAGCAAGCATTTAACATTTAAGTGAAATTCAATAACAAATACAGTTCTTTCTTGCCACTCATCGCCTCTGTCAGGATATATGGAGGATTGGTGGCGTCCACGTAAAGGTATTAAACATAGTCTTAAGCAGCCAAATAAACAATTTAGACCACAGCACACAATACATAATGGTAACCTCCTATTTCTGCCTATAACAGATATGCTAG